GTTCTACTCTTTACAGACAACATAAACATTTGGAGACCTATACATAGCATGTCAAATGGATCAACATTACAGGAGCACTAAATCCACTGGTTGTATGGATGGGCAGGTGGTCACTAAAAGTAAATTCTAACAAGAGTGTGGTGATGCAATCAATTAACTATGACGATTCATATCACTACACAATGTCTGAAGTTGTGTCACTTAAAGTAATAGACTGTAAAGATCTAGGTGTTTTAATAAGCCAAGACTTCAAAACTACGCGTAACTGTAAGGCTGCTGCTATATGCTTCAGAGTTTTATGGGCTTGTCGTAAGTCTTTTCAGTACTTAGAAGAATAAATGTTTAGGGTTTTATACCCAGCTTTTGTGAAACCGCATTTGGAATATCAGATTCAAGCAGCGTATCCTACTTTCAAGTATGGGGCAAAAATGTTAGGACGGGTCTAACGATGACGGACAAAGATGGTTAAGGGTCTCTATGATATGTCTTATGAAGGCAGGCTGAGATACCCTAACTTATTTCTGTTTTCTTACCACAGATTACGGGGTGATCTAATATTGACCTATCGTATACTTCTGGTTTGACTGGGTTTGCGATCCTAAGCCAGAAGGTCGTTACAAACAAAAGCATTATGAAAATCTGAAAACCTATGGGATTTTCGAAATAACAGCTCAATTTAGTGTCCGTACCTTCAGTGGACTGATCCAAGAGAAAACTGGAGACTTGCAGAAGCTTACTAGAAAATAACTAACACAGGTCGTCTACCTTCTGTCCTCACGGCTTGGGACGTATTCCGGAATTTATACTTAAAAGTTACCGCCCCCACATCCCTTGGACTACACCTACGAGACCGAGAAACTCCCCACCGTGGTTCAGTAGGGAGGTTCGCATCCTTCTCCGTAAAAGAAGGAAAATGTAGGACAGATTTAGGTTGCTGGGAACTAACGAGGAAAAATCTCAGTATCAAAAGGCTCGAAATACCTGTGCCTCGACCCTCCGTAAGGCCAGAAAGCTGTACGAAGGGAAAATCGTTAGGGAATCCATAGAATGCCCTAAACGCTTGTATTCGTATATAAACCAAAGGACAAAAAGAAGAAGAAATGTTCCTTCACTATGGGGAGACAGTACTGCCTCATCACTAGTGGAGGACGACTTTGGCAAAGCTCAAGTATTCTCTAAATACTTTAGCGATGTATACACCATAGAAACACCCTTCTCACCAGTCCATGAAAATCCCCCCACACCAGCACTGGACAGCTTGACCATTAAAGAACTCGATGTCTTTGGTCTGCTAGTTAAGCTTGACATAGGTAAATCCACTGGACCCGATGAACTGCATCCTAGGTTACTAAAGGAATTAGCTAACTTTGTTGCGAACCCTTTAAGTGTATGTTTTAATCTATCCGTAACCCAGGGTCGTCTACCAAAAGACTGGAAGAACGCCGTAGTAAGTCCAGTCTTCAAAACAGGTACAAAACATAAGCCTGAGAATTACCGACCAATTAGCCTAACTCGTGTGGTTGTTAAAATCTTAGAAAAGATTATTCGGGAGGAGCTGTTAAAGTATCTCGATGAAAACCGGATCCTCTCCGAAAAGCAGCATGGTTTTAGAACAGATCACTCTTGTCTCACAAACTTATTAGTCGCTCGTGAAAGCTGGTGAGCTCTTAAGGACCAAAAATTACCTATAGACGTAGCTTACATCAATTTCAGAAAAGCTTTCGACAAAGTTCCGCATAACCGGCTGTTATATAAGCTAAGGAATGTCGGGATTGAAGGTAATCTATTGATGTGGATAAAAGACTTCCTTGCTGAGCTTCAACAAAGAGTAAGGGTGAACTCCAAGTTGTCTAGCTGGGAAACTGTGCTTAGTGGAGTCCCCCAGGGTACAGTTTTGGGGCCAGTGTTATTCCTCCTGTACGTAAATGACCTCCCTTGTTTACTATCGTCATCGGTCTTACTCTATGCTGATGATGTCAAGATATGGAGGGCGATACAAAGCAAGGGTGATAGCTTAGAACTTCAAAATGACCTGGAGAGATTATTTGAATGGTCCCAAACCTGGCAATTGCCGATAAACACTTACAAGTGTATTGTGATGCATATTGGCCACCAGGGCACAGATACATACACGATGGATAACACTGAGTTACCTATTGTTCAGGCACACAACGACTTAGGCGTCATCGTTAGTCAAGACTTAAAGACTACTGCACACTGCCGTGCAATAGCCGCCAAAGGTTTTAGGACTTTATAGTCCATACGCAGGGCTTTTAGGCATCTTGACGCTAAAACGTTTCTGACTTGTATACAGTGTTCGTATGCCCTAAACTTGAGTACTGTATACAAGCAGTTAGCCCCTGCCTAAAAAAAGACAGTGAACTCTTGGAAAGGGTTCAGAGAACAGCAACTAGGCTGATTCCCGGAATAGCGAAGCTCCCGTATGGTACTAGACTGGCCAAGCTAAACCTATTCCCGCTGTCATATAGAAGAATCAGAGGCGACTTGATTACAGTTTTCAAATTGCTTAATGACAAATTTGCACCTGATATGCCCTCATTTTTCTTGTCTTCCAAAACAGAAAATCTACGAGGACACTCCAAAATAGTTTACAAGCTCCGAACGAACTACTTGTCAGCTGACTACCGACTTTCCCATCGAATAATCAACGAGTAGAATTCATTACTTCAGCATGTGGTTGAGGCTCCATCCGTCGACTCCTCCAAAAGAAAGTTGGATCAGCTGAGAGACCATAATTGCCAGGACTAACACAGGCCATCAAGCCTCCTGTCCTTTCCAAACTGAAACTGAAACTGAAATAAGTAAGTGGAAATCTAAATTTGGTCATTTTCATTACCAATTACGTGAAAATTTGCTGAAAAAAGGAAACCAATCGTTTTTTTATACAAGCTAGTGACAAACGTATCGAATCTTTATGATTTTTACCAATAATGACTAAATATTTTCTGTTGATTCATTCAAAGAAATACTAGGTCTCAAAATAGGTTGAAACTTCAAAGTGTTTGGTACTTTGTCTGTTTTTTTATCATAACACAGGATTTGTTGTCATTTTATTCTTTTGTTTGTACCGAGCAATGACTAACTTTGAAGGCCGCAGCTTTTGGCTCTAGTCTCGGTTCACTTTCGTTTTTCTGATGTATGTTTGTTACTTCGTTATCATTCGTATTCAGAGTTGAGTTGCCGACAATCATCTCTTACAAGTTTGCAATTTTTTTCATCTGGAATTATGTTTTATCTCGCTTCTATCATTCGCAGCAGGACTTTGACAAGTGAATCACTTTGTGAGGGTTAAGTATATCGATTATCGTAAGTGGCTATAACAGCATTATTAAACAATTATGCCTAAAAGGTAAAGACCTGAAACACACTTCGAATCTAGCAATCTGCCACATTTATGCCAATTAATCTTCATTGTGTGTTTCTGTGGAGAGTTAATCTATGTTCGAAAGCATTTACCACTAGTGTCTACACTATTCATTCTGGTAGGACACCACAGAGTTAGCCATTTGACGGGAAGAGCAGAATCCTTACTTGGACTTATCCGACGGTTGACTCTAAACTTATATGTATTGACCTTGGACTTGATTGGCTCGTATTGATGCAAATATTGTGATCTACCAAAACCCAGATAATTATTCGAGATACTAAGTATCGATATGAGATAACCTAGAGCTCTACAACGGGATAGAAACAGTAGCTTTAGGTGTTTCACTCTCATCATGACAGCTAAGTTTCACCTCCTCAGACAGCCTCTTTATCTCTGATGTAGCACAACCCAAAATATCAGGTGTCGTTGTAAGAATAAGGCTTTATATAGATACGGTATACTATCCTAAACATATCGTAATCGAAATCCGGTGGTCTTGAGTGCTGTTATAGGTATGAGGGTGGTTATCACTTCCCTGTTGCCCGCACTGTGGAAGGGTTCTTCTAGAGGTACCTGAAAAAGAAATTGGGTTAGAGTTGCTCTTAGTGACCTAAGGACGTGACTGCAGTTCCAAAAGGCAAATACTTGAGGTCTGCCACACGTTGCCTTTTTGTGGGTAATCTTTGCGTTGTCTCCGTACTTGTTGAGACCTTACCACCGGAGGCTGATATTCGTGTGATAAGGTGTTTTCATTTTTTTAGGGCCGACCTTTTTTAAACCTACTCTTTGTGGGAAGGCAGCATCGCTGGTTGTCTGGGGAACTACCTTACTGCTGTCATATCTTTATAAAGTTAGCAGTACGACTTCACCCTCGGACCTTGGATTTTCCGCTTATAGTCTTACCATCCTTCAACCGATCTGCCTGGCATGATAGGACCTTGAATGATTTTTCCAACCAGTATAGGTCAATCGGTTCATCACGATAGGCAAGTTCAACCACCACGTTAAGGTAGCTGCAACCGTCGGGGTTTCGGAATCCCCTAATAGGTGATACATTCTGGTCCTCGACGGTCTTAAAAGTCATAGGTTACGAGTATCCTCAAGTCCTTTTGCTTTAGAACTTTCGACAGTGAAATCGGCGAGACTATAATTTATGGACGAGCCAATCAGAAGCGTTTGAGGGATTTTAAGGTCACAGTGCCAATTTCAGTGCCTGATGATCATGTACGATCGGTTTACAGAGAATTTTAGAGAAGACTTGATAATTGAGGGGCCACAAAAAATGAGACTACTGAGAACTTCCTTTATTTGTGATTGTGGTAATTAAGTGACTTGTAGACGTTGTGCAGATTACCATGATGTTGTCGTTCGATGTAATATACGATAAAGAAAGACGTTTGCTAGAATAGGAAGCTTTATCGCTCTATCCAGATTGAGAATATTGAATATTATAATAATTTCCGCGAACTGTATAATAGAAGCACCAGTAACATTGGCTGCAAAAGTCGCAGATGTTACTGAAGCTTCGACTGTTCAGTGGTATGAGTGTTGTGGGGACATACCCATAATAAAAATGATAAACTTACACAACCGGAGTACACGTAAATAATAATGAAGCTATGTGGTTGGGGCTGAGTGGGTTTTTGTGAAATTATCATGGCTCCGAAGATCAACTATTATGGAGCCATATGGATGACTTCCTCTACCTTATGCATTACGATTTTAAAACCTTTGAACGTTTTCTAAACCTTGACAAGTTTTTGGACCATATAAAAGGATGTATCCACTTTAATTATTTGGTTTTGTGTAATATATTTTTACTCTATGCTGACTGTTTACTGATTGGCTAACATTTCTCAAGGTCACTTGAGATTCGCTCAAAGGTCGTCCATAAATTATGGTCTCGCCGTGAAATCGTATCAACCGTGTACTGGTGAATATTGTTCTGAATGTTGTGTATTAGTGCACTTATACTGGATTTTATTTCTAAGCACCAGTATTTTGACAATCTTGCCGATTTATTTAGATCGGTTTGGAGTTCTAGCCTATCACTGTTACTATGTTTGACCTTTCTGTGTCTTCGAATTCGATGTTTTTAATCCAAGCTTGTAATGTGCATGTTATTCTGAAGTTAGAAGGCTTCATCATAATACCAGACTGGGATATGTGGAAGGTATCTTGTTATCTGCAATACAGCATCGAAACCTTTTTGGGACATAAAGCATCCTCTCCAATAAAATGTTGGAATCTATTTTTTTGGAGTATGGTAGACCTTTGGCCGCGCCAAATATCCACTGATTTTAATTTATGAACATGTATCAAATAAATTATTGCTCTACTTCGTATGTTGAAGACATCCATCACAGTTCTTTTTCCAAAATCGTTTACTTCATGGTTTAATTTAAGGGCATATATGTTAATTTCAGGGCTGTATTGGAGATCAAGTATGTGGTTTTGTGTAAAACAAATACAGGCTCATTCACTGGCCTTTAGTACACATTTCTAGGTTGCACAGACTAAAGCGTATTTTCAGTTCGGTGTTTACGTGTCATGTCCTAGTGATAAAGATGAAAGAGTCATCGGAAAGTAATTCGAACCATTCTTAAGTATTGCTGGTTGAGTGCTCCAAATACTTAGATTATCCATGGGGAAAGTTCATTGATAATTCTTCGTAGTTGAGTTGTTTCATTTGCCTTTGTGAAACCTGCACTTTAAACTCTCATTGTGACAAGAAAATTGATGTTTAAAAGGTTTCATTTCAATATGGAGCAACTCAGAGCCACAAAGTTCAATTGCATCTCGACCTTCATGACTATCTATTGCTAAAAGGATAGTGTAAATCAAAAGTCATAGACTCAAACAGCTGTCTGAATGTATCTAATTTTCCAACCACACCAACCCCGGAGTCCAGAATATTTATTTTGGCTGTGTAGATCACTCCTTTATTCACTCTCTGCACGATTGTTTACTAACTTTAAAATACGCTTTACTAATTAATCTGTTGGTGTATTGTGCCCCTATTTTTTATCGTTCAATCTCCTACTGCATAGTTTGGGATTATATATTATTACCTGTCTTCTCTAACTTCACAATTGTCATTTCTGTTCTATAACCAATATTGAATAGTAAAGTTGTTCTTATTTTATTGATATTACAGCTATTCGACAAGAGAAGATAAAATATTGTGGTTCATTTTGTCATGACGTTCGTCAATCTGCTGTTGAAGAATACAGGCAGGGTTAATTTTGTTCGATTTTCTCCCATAAGTCGCTCAGTAATTATTCTTTCATACTTTTAATCCATTTTATTCATCATCAAGGTAGCACTTAGTAAATTTGAAGACAAGACCCTAGATTATGATAAACTGGAACACAATCTAAATATAGTGAAAAAACGGTAATGAGTTATACGATTTCTGATGTTATTTATAGACTTGGACATCCGTTAACACTTGCCGAGAAAGTTCTGTATTCTCATCTCGATAATCCAAAAACTGCAGTAATCACTTGTTTTTCAAAAGATTTCTCTAAATCACTTTTAGAATATTGAAAGAGCTAAAAGCTATCTCATGCTTAGACCCGATCGTGTTGCAATGCAAGATGCTACAGCACAGATGGCTCTATTACAATTTATTAGCAGTGGTCTTCCACGTGTCGCCGTACCCTCAACTGTCCATTGTGACCATCTTATTGAGGCTAAAGATGGTGCAGGAACAGATCTTAATCGTGCAAATGATACCAACAAGGAAGTTTACGAATTTCTTGCATCTGCATCTGCTAAATATGGTATTGGATTTTGGAAGCCTGGATCAGGAATAATTCACCAGGTAATTGTTATTTGATGTCTTTCTCTAAATAATTATTCTCTTGTATCGTTCGTTCGTCGAATAAACTCAAAGTATTGTGTGATAAAATCGATGGGCAGTTACAGGACGTATATAAAACATTGAATGCCTCATAGTTAAGCCATCCAGCTTACAAAATTCAACATTAAAGTGTTCACTACATTTAATTATCATTCGCAAAGCCTTTGGAAAGTTACGACTATTATCCAAGAGTTAGTGATATATACAAATAGAAATTATTGAGCAATTAATGATTGCACTTGGAAGTTTTAGATTTGGGTTAACAGATACTATAGTGAAGATTCAGAAATCTCTCCATTTACATTAATTCATGCATTCATCTCAACACTTTAAACTCAATATTCTAATAATTTGAGCTTCTTTTTCCAACTAAGATTTATTCTCAATAATGTTGGAAGGTAGTTTTTTTTAATGAAGATGATATTATTTCCAGTTGTATAGTTTACTGAATATGTCGAGCTCATTATCAATCATTTGTAAAATATTCATAATTTTTCTAACAATAAAAATAAGTTTTAATCATAGTGCATGTAGGTGTTCTGTAGATGAGATTGCCACTTGGAATCTTTTGACATAAACTGAATTCAATTGTCCGTTTCTTGTTTTATTTATACTTGTTAGTTCGACTATACTCGCCCTCAAACGCCCTTGTATGGCCGATAGTGGAAATGCCCTCACATGGCCACGTATATACGCCCACTCACAGGGAATTCCTACTCACTGCCTTCTCGCACCACGTGTGTTGTTTACGAAATTGAGAGGACGAAAAGCGAATAGCCGGCGCTTTAACCGAGTTGGTGGATACTGGGAATCCGCCTAGGGGAGTTGGAAAACTCTGTTTCCAAACCTATGGTGCACATGGGCTCCAGGATCCGGAGAGAACAAACGGTGTGTGAACCAATCGTTGGTCATCGTCTACTATGGAACTGCATCTCCTGAAATTGCTCCACTGTCTTGTGGATCAGATCTTTAGGTCAAAGGCTCCGGGTGTAACCTCCTAAGAAAACCACCTGGACAGTATTACAACCCACCCACAAATCAAGTGACTTGTGTTGCGCATATGTATTTGGTGCCTTCTTGTGCCACTACTTATGTTCAAATAAACAAATACCCACAAAGTTAATCATATAGAGATTATACTTTGTAAATTTACTGAAATAAAATAGCGCTAACAATTAAATTACAGACTTCGGATTCAACATAAATGCAGTCTTACATAAAACCTGTAAGCCCTCAATTTAATCCCATGAACAAACACACATCATGAATTTCACCTCTAGTCATATTTCATTTATTCTATATTATGCCATTGTAGTGTTGTAATAAAGCACGAAGAAAAACAACTATCCGACACTTTCTGTAAGTAATTATTTATCTGACATCTTTTTTCATATAGATTGTTTTAGAGAACTATGCATTTCCTGGTGCATTAATCATTGGCACCGATAGTCATACACCCAATGGTGGCGGACTTGGTGGTTTATGTATTGGTGTTGGTGGTGCAGATGCTGTAGATGTAATGGCTAATTTACCATGGGAGTTGAAAGCCCCATTAGTAATTGGCGTAAATCTAACAGGTAAATTATCTGGTTGGACAAGTCCAAAAGATATCATATTAAAGGTACGATCGTTATATATTTTTTAAGATTACTTTTGTGTAAATTAGTTTTACATGTAATATTTTGTGCTAAAATGTAGCCTACTATGTGGTGTAAAACATGGAAATAATGCCCTAATTCAATCTTAACTTCTAAGACTACAGTGCAAGGAAGGGAATACCAAGAGCAAGGGCTTAACAAATAATTATATTAGACTGGAGGTATTTGTGAAGATCGTTAAATTTTCGTGGTTTAAATCACGAACTAATCGTTGTTAGATCATCATTAGAAATTCGGAAGTACGCGCACGAGACCGAAGGTTCTGGGTTCAAATTCCGTGAGCGGGATCGTGGATGTACACTACCAAGATGTCCTATGCTAGGACAAAACGGTCGTCCAGTGCTTCCAGGTTTTCAATGGTGGTCTAACTAAGATCACTTGGTGGTATAAGCTATGAGAATAATTGTATATTTGAAAGGATGAGATATCCCAGTTGTGAATTAGATAAATTACAAATATATACAGATCACTAATCCATTAATTCAAATCTTTTACATTTAAAACCACAGTGCAAAGAAACTATGGAAAAAAGTGGTATTCAGGCAAATATCAAAAGTGAGATTCTAAAGAACAACAGTTTAAAAAATGACAAGTTCCACCAGTCTCAAAGCTAGGTAGATAATAAATATATTGAATGGATCAGCATTGATCTTGACCAGTTTCTTATCGTTTTAAAAGAATTAACGGCACATTCTGCCCGGACAGTGCCAACAAGATAATCTTAATTAGATGAGATGGCACAAAACTAGTCGTAATGGTATAAATATAGTCGTTATTTATTTTCCCATAGATTATGAGTTGCAATAATATGTCAATGTTAATTTTACGAATTTATTACTTCTTTTCAAACTTCATGATATCTTTAGTTTTTTAATATCATTGGTATTACTATTTAGACATCTTTGTTATTCATGTTAATTTCACCTCAGCTTGTTGATTTAGCATCAGCTCTTACTTGAGATATTTACTGAACTCAATAGCACTAAATCAGCCCGTTTTGATCAAATTTTCTGCAAATGGTTATCTTCCGACTTTTTGTCAGATTAATTTGCTTTTTTACTCATATTGACTGCTATTTTTGATTTATCTCTAACCATGTTATGGTTAGCTAAGTTTTACCTTATGGATTGGTTAGTAGGGTCTCATTTTAGACATTAAAGCCAGGAAGACAGCTTGTCTCTGCGCAAATTTACTTACTTTGCTTTACTTTACTTACTGTTACTTCCTCGAGGAGGAGCATATGTTTCCCACCAGGATTCTCCAGCCATCTCTACTGTGGGTTCTCCTTTACAGTTGCTATTCATTCCTTTGATGTCTCGCTTCAACTCCCTATACAATATGTTCTTGGGTCCTTCTCTTCCCCATTTTCCTTCAGTAATCTAAGCTAGAACTTGGTTCGTGATGCAGTTTGATGATTTCCATTATGTATATCATATCAACCTCCACCGTCTTTTCCTAATTTCCTCTTCAGCTGGAAGCTGGCTTGTTCTCTGTCACAGTGGGTTGTTGCTGATGGTATCCAGTCAACGGGCGTTGAGTATCTTGCTCAGACAATTGTGTGGAAATACCTGTACATTTTTGATGATGGTTGTGGTTGTTCTCTAAGTTTCAACTGCATACAGTAGAACTGTTTTGACATTCGTACTGAAGATTCTGACTTTGATATCGTCTGACAGTTGTTTTAAGTTCCATATGTTCTTCAACTGTAGGAATGCTATCCTCGCTTTGCCAATCCTTACCGTTACATCTGCATCAGATCATCCTTGTTTGTCAATGGTGTTCCCTAGATACGTAAAACTTTCTACCTCTTTCAGAGCCTGTTTATCAGGTGTGATTAGTTTATTTCTCTATGTATTGTATTTCAGGATCCCACTTTTTCCCTTGTGTATGATGAGAAGTGGTGCTGCAGAGTCTGCCGCTACACTTTTTGTCTTTACCTGAATTTGTTGATGTATGGGATAGAAGAGCTGGGTCATCTGCGAAGTCCAAATTATCTAGTTACATGCAAACTATTCATTTTATTCTGTGCCTCCCCTGAAATGTAGAGGTCTTCATCATCTTATCGATCACCAGAAGAAAGAGGAAGGACGAGAGTAAACAGCCTTGTCTGACTCCGGTTCTCACTTAGGATGCGTCTGTCAGTTGTCCTCCATGTGTGACTTTTCAGTGTAGTCCGTCATACGAATTCCAGATGATAAAGATTTTCTCGGATACACCATAGTGTCGAAAGAGGTTCCATAAAGTTCTCCTATCCATATTGTCATATGCCTCCTCATGGTTAAGGAATTTGACGTATAGTGATTAGTTGAATTCAACTAATTGCTCAACAATGATCTGTAGTGTCGCAATTTAGTCTATGCACGACCGATTATTATGGATTGTAGCCTGTTGATCTCGAAGCCGGGCGTCTACTGAATCTTTCGTCCGGTTCAACAGTACTGATGGAAACTCTTTTTGGTACTGATAGTAGTGTGATGCCTCTGTAGTTCTCACACTTACTCAAATCTCCTTCCTTTGGTGTCTGCATGAGGTATCCTTCTTTCCAGTCTGTCGGAACCTGTTCTTCCTCCCAGATGCTTCTGAATAGAGCGTGGGGCATCTTAGTTACTTTACTGCCTGACTTCAGTGCTTCAGCTGATATGTTATCAGGTCCTGCTGATTCCCACTCTTGATTTGTTTGGCGACTATGCTGTTTTCTTCGATTGTCAGAAGCTTCATAAAATATTACTATTTATTGATCTGAACACCTTCAGTCAGCATCTGTTCAACCAGCGTTATATTTCAAGATAGACGGTGGCGGTTGTTCATGCCTAGCAAATCTCTTAACTACACTAGAAAATACAGATTCACAATACCTGCTTATAAAACTTCGTTTAGTTTGTTGCTTTTTATCTGCGTCGCTGAATGCTTTATCTAACTAACTAGTTTGCAAATTCTGAGTCCAAATGTATTTCCCTTTTTTGTGATAAACACCTCTCCCCAACTCAAACCTGTCTTTTCATTATAATCAAAATTAGTAAACATAAAATAAGTGAATAGTCAAAAGTTTACTTTTTTCATTGATAAACTTATTCGACACTTACAGACTTGTGTACTTGATTTCGATTCAAATTCTAAGCGTGCAAACCAGTGATACATATGCCTGGATTACGCCAACTCAAATTAATGGAACGAGGTTCTCACCTACGATTCAGTAGCTAAAATTGAAAACCATTCGCCAATAATGAGTCACTGCTCCAAATTTAAAGTGTATTTTCTTTTTGCTACTGTTGATTTCACATCTCATTTATTGTGTGATTTTTTAGGTAGCTGAAATCCTAACAGTGAAAGGTGGAACTGGAGCTATCGTTGAATATTATGGTCCTGGTGTTGAATCGATTTCATGCACTGGTATGGCTACAATTTGTAATATGGGCGCTGAGATCGGTGCTACAACTTCAATTTTTCCATTCAACGATCGAATGCTGGATTATTTACGTGCTACAAATAGAGCGGATATGGGAGATTTAGCTTCAAAGCATAAGGTGATCAATCATTTCAGAGCTAACCATATATATATATATATATATATATATATATATATATATATATATATATATATATATATATATATATATATATATATATATATATATATATATATATATATATGATGAAATTTACTTTACTTAAAAATAACATTTTTAGTCTATGTCATTGTCGTTAGTGATATATGAACTCAATAGCCCAGTGGATAACGGGTTAGGTATCTGAAACAAGGTTACTGGGTACTGGTCTTTAATGGGATTATCAACAAGGAGGCGCAGTTGGCTAGTCCCAAGTAAGATGAAACACGTATCCTGGTTTTCAGTGCTGGCCAAAAATCCATATATTTCACAAAATACAATCTTGGTTAATAATATGATCTGAAATGTACTTCCACTAATGCATTTTTTTATGTGTTGCATTCTGATTTCTTTTTATTCAGGCTTCTTTACTTACATCAGATGTAAATTGTAAATATGATAAAATAATTGAAATAAACTTGGATACTTTAGAACCACATGTAAATGGTCCATTTACACCAGATCTCGCACATCCGATTTCACAAGTGAGTTTTCATATATCCTCCTAATTTTCATTCCTAAATGAATTGTGTTTTTTTTACATAGTATTGTAAACTGTAATATTCATTACGAAACGATATTAGTCAGAGAGTTTTTAAAAACCCATAGAGTACTGAATACGTCTATTTCGTCTTCTTTGTGATTCTTTGACATCGCACACTCATTATTCCATATCCATATTGAATAAAAGACTTTTGACTATCGCTCTGAGTAGTGCCTAATGCTTCCAAATCACTTGGTTGGAGTCCAACTTCGATCAATACTCTATTTAAGTATGATACCCAACCAATTATTATAATGATGTAGTGTTGTTTTATCACCTGCAAAAAATTGTCTCTATAACTAATTGACATAGCCAGGTAATGTGTTGTGTCACACAATAAACATTAAACGCTAAATGATATTGGTCTATGATATCAGTCCACCAAAGTTCATAGAATTCCATCTAATAGATATTTGGGAACTTGAACGCCTTTCTTAGTTATAGAGTCTATAACTTTGTTGTCATAAACTTTAATTAATACTAAATTGACACAGACACATACTCATATGTTACTTGAATTCTTCATCAGCTTGCTATTCTGACTGCCACTCATTTTTTACCGAGTCCAAGTTTTATTCACTCAACTATGAGGTGCACCTTTATTTATGTGTTAGCTATTAATACTGCCAGTTAGGTTGCCAGAACCGAAGTTACTAGAGTGGAGTTCGAGTCTGCGAATTGTCGGTTTATGTTATGATGAGAATAATAATAATATGAATAAGTAGAAAATAACTCAACTAGTAAAGATTACTGTAGTATGAGCTATATACGTATATTGCTTAATAAACCTTACCGTTTGTATAAAATACTACTGAAGATATTTTTGTCAATATTTTATATATCAAACTACTCATATTAATTACCATATGTGTTTATTTAAAACTGTACAGATTATGCATGGTACCGTTGAAATGATATGTAATTATTCACTGTTTTTTTTTCTCGTTTCTATAAAATAATGAGGATTTTTTCAAAGCCGTAAACTTTATACCTCATGTACATACATCACCCTTCACTCTGTTCAGATCGAATCAACTAGTTATAAATACCTTGTTATAAGTACCTGTATCCAAACACCTCAACCAAAGTTATCATCATTATTATTTAAACACATAAACATCGGTACAAGAAGGCACCAAATACATATGCGCAACACAATTTACTTGATTTGTGGGTGGGTTGTAATACTGTCCATGTGTCCAAACCGAAATAGGTGGTTTTCTTAGGAGGTTACACCCGGAGCCTTTGACCTAAAGGTTTGATCCACAAGACAGTGGAGCAATTTCAGGAGATGCAGTTCCATAGTAGACGGTGACCAACGATTGGTTCACACACCGTTTGTTCTCTCCGGATCCTGGAGCCCATGTGCACCATAGGTTTGGAAACAGAGTTTTCCAACTCCCCTAGGCGAATTCCCAGTATCCACCAACTCGGTTAAAGCGCCGGCTATTCGCTTTTCGTCCTCTCAATTTCGTAAACAACACACGTGGTGCGAGAAGGCAGTGAGTAGGAATTCCCTGTGAGTGGCCGTATATACGTGGCCATGCGAGAGCATTTCCATTATCGGCCATACCAGGGTATTTGGAGGCCTCAACCAAAGGAGGAGGCATAATCACTTCTCCCTACTATTCCATTCGAAGAGTAGGATCAGACAGGGTTCCCTGACTATACTATTCCTCTTCAATTTTGTCATCGATGAAACTCTGGAAACAGTTTCGATGGAAGCAGATTTCGGTGGTGTACATCTGTCACCTAGAGAAAGACTTCGAATTGGGATATACAGACGATATTGCTTTATTTGTGTTATGATACCCAAGCCATGTAATCCACAATTAATCAATTGATAACCAGTGTTCGTAGGTTTAACATGTACTTTTTGTCTTCTGAATGCAAAGTAATTTTACAAGACGGGCAGGAGCCTGTCCCTGTCTTCGCTCTTGGTAGTGAGCAGTTAGAAGAAGTGGTTGAAAAGATCGTTTATCTGAGTAGTTATGTGAGTACTGGTAACGATGTAATTGATATGGTCAACTTAAGCAAAGCGAAAGCCGAAACGGGTCATGCTAATCTGGGCCGTCTTTGGCTCTACCGTAATATTGTTAGTCTGGCTGTAAAAGGTTAAATTTACAAAGCGTCAGTATGAGCAATTTTGCTCTATACTTGTGAAACCTGGCCTCTTAGAGTTGAGGATGTTCATTAACTCGGTATCTGACTATCGTTGTTTTTGAACGATTGCTGAAGTCCAGTTGCAACATCTTGTTAGTAGTGCTGATGTTCGAAAATTTTTGTTTGGGCACATTTGATTTATTTTATTTAAACACATAAATATTGGTACAAAGGGGCACCAGATATATATGCATATTGACGATAACTTATTTAGTATCGAAATCTTCAGTAGCTTGAACATCTGCTATGAATGTCATCTCGGTGGATTTCACATCGTGCATTATTTGCCGAGGCCGGAACTGGCTAAAAAAATCGGAGAGGTGGTCATTTTATTGGGCGATACCGGAATATGAAACAAAATTGTACAGGACCAACATTTGTAATTTAATCTTACTTCATAGAACAGAGGAACTTCTCTAACTGGGAAAATTCTTTCTGGTTGTATTTCTTAAACTGAAATGCTTCTCTCATTATCTACTATTCCCATTACTGAGTTTTACCCATTTGTTGCTTTTTTTCCGCTTTATACTCACTCCCCTTCCTCAATCTCATCACGATTTCTTCTTACTATGTAGTGCTTTTTTGGTGCCCCTTTGTACCAATATTTGCATATCTAGATAATAATAATGACCCGTGTAAAATCGATTTAATGCACCATACTTTCTAAGTTATGTTCATGAAAGTGTTATGTATACTGTTTTATTGTTAACTAACCGGATCATCAACAAAAAGGAAACTATTTAGCTTGCATATATATATATATATATATATATATATATATATATATATATATATATATATATAATGAACTGCACAGTTATTAACTATCTCATCCATTATTCACTATTTACCATAAATATTTTAAGTCGATGTAATCTAATTTGATGTAAGTTATCAAATAGGGCCATATTTACTCAAATTTAAGCCACACATTTTTATGTTTGAATTGGTGATACCGATTTTCAATTCTCTATCCAAACTAAACTGAATAAAGAGCGATTCGAACATCTGGCTTAGTTGTTAGAAATCAAATACTTTAACCACTAAGTTAACACTTCAAATATTTGCGCTAACAGTATTATTCAGATTATCTGTGTTTAGATATTTTTTGTTTTCTATACTTATTTCACGTGTTTTTTCTTTTCTTGATCAATAAGTACTGTTGTGTTCTTTCAACTAGTTGGACAATCAGTCATTTGTTGATTGTCAAGGGATTTTGGCATTCGTTTACAACAAATTTATGCTATATTTCTGATTTGCTCTAAATTCAATAAAATACCACTAATGTAATGATGACTATTAAGTTACCATACTGGTTGTTTTAGTATGAAGTGTAAGTGTTCATAAGTAAAACCAAAATCAATATATATTCCTTATATGTAATCGTCCTTGTTTAAATAATGCTAGTACGGGCACTGTTGGTTAGAATTTGAGGGGAGTTGTACTTAATGTCAAAAATAACTATCAATAACTAACATGGGAACTAAGAGAACACAAATATTGGGAGATGTTGTGTTTAGACAAGGATTCAAAGAGTTTATGAAAGATGAAAATAACTGTTACAAAGGTTGAGAGAAAGTAATCATAATAAAAAAATACAATGTGCTATTAGTTCATGTAAATACTTACACGGTGGTAGACGGTCGTCTCACCTCATGTTCATAAATTACTTGAAATGAAACTGCTTATTGAAAATTAACAAATAGTAGTAAAAAGCAATATATAAAAATGAATTGAATGAAAAGAGAATAGAGGCAGAGAATTCGAACGAACTTGCCAGTGTTTGTGATCTGTAGCCAAGCACATGAATCAGTACCTACTAGTTGGTGGGTAAAAATGAGTGTGACTTGTTAGAGTAGCTTATACGTTTTTGATATGGTAAGTAGATTAAATTTTATTTTGTGAAAGAAGAAAGGTGTTTTGGGGAGATGCAAAGAATTCCCTGAAAAGTCCATATGCGTCATGAAAACTCTGTAAAACATTTTATTCATGCATGTTTTTGAAGGAGTCAAAATCAGAATTGTGTGGGAGTTTTAAAAAATCATCCTCCTGGTTTATGCTGATTGAATTTTTTCTAAAATATAGTGTTTTCCAGTAAATTGTTTTTTAAGCTTTCAAACTAATGATCATAGTTAACAAACAATGAAACAGACTCAAAGAAATAACCAGAACCCAATAACGAAAACAAAATATTCAAATAACAACTTCAACTAGATCAAAGGATGAACATCATCACACATTAATACATAGAGTTAGGCGGTTGTGGGAGCGGATAACTTTACACATAAAGAGAAACAAACAAAACATATATAAAGCGATTTTCTCATCCATACATGTATGTACATTCAGAAAAGATTTTACACAGTTTATTTAATATTTGCTAACTGGCATACATACATTATTATTATTGTTATTCTTATTAGTTGTCCAGTCATGCATCCAAAGCAGGTTGGCCACTGCATATCAGTGCTGGACTTATCGGTTCCTGTACCAATTCATCTTATGAGGATATGGCACGTGCTGCCAGCTTAGCTCGTCAAGCTTTAGATAAAGGTGTTAAAATTAAATCACAATTCTTTATAACACCTGGTAGTGAACAAATTCGTGCAACTATTGAACGTGACGGTATCACAAAAATATTTCAATCTATTGGTGGTGTAGTATTAGCTAATGCATGTGGTCCATGTATTGGTCAATGGTCTAGAAAGGTAAGTGAAGTACTATTTTTTTGGGGGGAGCATTTTCTCTCCCACCCCACAAAAAACGCTGGTAATTCCAAATAATAATGATAATTATTATTATAAGCAGTGATGGATGGTGTGTAGTTAGTTATTTTACGTACTACTGAACAGATATCATAGATAGAGATGCTTTTGAAGCATTGCTTGCCTATTTTGAGATTATCAAGTTAACAATACTCAGGTTAAACCTAGGATGCTCGTTAAAAATGGCAAATCCGTTGATAAGGCTGTAAATTATCATCTACTGAAGTGTCAAGGATATAGGTTACATATGCTAATGCACTACCTTCCTCAACGGGCAGTTTTTATCAATGTGGAAGTAGGTTGGAAGAAAGCTGAAGATATCTAAACCAAAACGTTGCATCAGTCTATGAATCCATTGACTGTTGAACCAAGCCATGTTGTTAGGTGCAGAGTGACTTCGTAGTTGAGGTTCTGTTATATCTAGAGCCTTGATTCTTAATATGCCGCGAACTACTTGACTACTTGAACGATAGAACCCGCAACGTCGCAAAGAGAGAGAAGACAAAGACTGGTAAGCAGGAAGTTTATTGCCCCGAACAATGTCAAAATATAGCACAGAAATCTCGTGTATTTATAGTTATTGGCTGAAAATAAATTATCATTTAGGTCAACCAATAAGCACATAGGTATCAAACTAATCCATCCAATCGAGAAGCTCCACGTTGGTATTTCTAGAGCATTCCCCTAGCCGTAATTGGATGGAATGTCTGCGGCTCTTCCTGGGCTTAGGGTTTCCTAGAGTCTACCGACGGGCCGTCCTTACACCTCCCCCTTTGAAGTCTGTGATGTATGAATTTCTTTTTGGATTTTCTTGAAGCATTGTTATTGTTCTCGTTTTTCTGTTCATCACCCTTGTCGGCTGAACGCTCTCACTCTTAAGTTTTTCTAGTCGTTGGTTACGGCCTTCTTTTGGGTCTTTCTCCACCAAAATGTGGAACGGTACTTGTGTATCTACTGCTGCTGTTCTATGATTCCTTTTTATCTGATTCATATGTCTGGTACATTTTCCGTCCCTTCCACGGACTAAATAAAGTACTTTCCCGATACGCCTTACTATGACACCTGGTTCCCATTTCTGACCGCCTTGATACTGTACAAGTAATTTTTCGCCGCGGTCGTTCGTCTGATGCTCTTGTACAGGTTTTCTTCTTTTCTTGGTGGCGATTTTTTTTCGAATATCCATGGGTTCTTTGCCTGAACTTCTGATTCACCTTCTCCTGCGGCAATGAGTACGTCTTCTCTATGTTTTGCCTGGGGACCAATCAGCCTTGAGAGTGCATCAGATCTTACCGGAATACATATATGATTAATTGGCTGGTTAGCCAACTGCAACATTTCTATTAGGTCAAGACCAAGCAAATCTAGTCCTGGGCTTTCCGTGAGATATACTTTCACATTCTTCTGTACATTCCCTTTTTTAACTGGACAGTATATCTCTCCAACAATATTTAACTTTCCTCCAGATGCACTGTGTGCTAACTGAGTTGTAGGGAGCACCGAGGGTTTGCCAATATGACTCCACGTTTTGCGGCTGATAAGTGAAATATCTGAAGCAGTGTCAAGCTGTAGACGAGCACGGCGCCCATTAATCTCTAAGGTCACATATTTTCTTCGATTATGTTCTGTTCTGGTATGTGCTACCATTATTCTATTGATTGATGAACAGTTTTTGCGTCTTCGGAAATGTACACTTGATGAACGACGGTGCATCTTCTTCTTACAACATGTTTCTTTATGTCCTTTGAGCTGACATCTAGTGCACCGGTAGTTTTTGTATGGGCAGAACCTTTTGTAATGCAGCTCTCCGCAAAACTAACATGCGGATGGAGGCTTCTTAATGGTTGCGTTCTGCTTTTGCATATAGGAATCTTTCTACCCACTTACTGCCTGTACATAAGGTAGTCGACTATTATTCTCTACCATCGAAGTGTCATGCTTCAAGTTCACCATACGCTGACATTCAGTAGTCACCTCTTGAAGGGTGATATTTGGACACTGTTCAATTTTACTTAGAATTCTGGTTCTGATGTCGGCATCTTCTGAAGACTGTAAGCTGCATACGAAAACAAGACATTTGAATTGGTCTTCTGTCATTGCTGATAGTTTGAAGCGCTCACATTCACGATTTACTATGCTAGCATGTTGCACCCAGTCATCGTTGCTAGCTTTTACTATCTTCAGGCACTGATATCGAATATTGAACAAGAAAGACTGTTCACCGAAAATTTGCGACAAAATTTTAACTGTTTCTTCGAATGAAATGTCTCTTGGATTCTTGGGCAGAATGTAATTAGTGTATCGTTCATGTTCAATGGTCCCCAGCTTTCGTAGTAGCACTCTGACCTTGGCGGCATCATCAAACGCTTCTAGGTCAACATTAAATACATCTTCATATTTCTTGTACCAAGATTCGAATGTTACACCAGCCAAACCATCAAAATGAAATTCGTGAATGGAATCAATGATACAATCAGCATGCGATTTAGCAGAAGCATCTGTAAGTCCATTCTTATTGAGGTTCATTTCCTGGGTTAGTGTTTCAAGTATGCGAATCTGGAATTGTTCAAAGCGTTTTTCATGGCGCTCTAGAAAAGCTTCAAATTGGTCAAAGGTAATAGACATCTTGATAAATTAACCCGTCGCCAGTTGTTATATCTAGAACCTTGATTCTTAATATGCCGCGAACTACTTGACTACTTGAACGATAGAACCCGCAACGTCGCAAAGAGAGAGAAGACAAAGACTGGTAAGCAGGAAGTTTATTGCCCCGAACAATGTCAAAATATAGCACAGAAATCTCGTGTATTTATAGTTATTGGCTGAAAATAAATTATCATTTAGGTCAACCAATAAGCACATAGGTATCAAACTAATCCATCCAATCGAGAAGCTCCACGTTGACATTTCTAGAGCATTCCCCTAGCCGTGATTGGATGGAATGTCTGCGGCTCTTCCTGGGCTTAGGGTTTCCTAGAGTCTACCGACGGGCCGTCCTTACAGGTTCACACGATTATTGTAATCATTGGTCGGAGGACCTTAGGTAACATGGCTGAGAATCGGTTTGACTGGCGAAGATGTATGCGCTGTTTGTTTTCCCTCGGTTTTTGAGTTTTAAGATTATATTATACTTCATTTAGAACCTGAGTGCAGATTTCGTTCCGATCATATATGTATATAATCATAGTGCATCTTCAATTTATTTAATAGATAGTTGTTCATTGTGCTTTGGTCCGATGAACATTTTGACGTGTGGAATTAGCAGAAAGTGTATTTTATAATTTTCTAGTAAATTGCAGACTTCTAGATGTTAAGTGATGTTCAGATTTGTATTATTTACCTGTCCTGCATAGTAGAAGAGTGATATGAATGTCTAAATAGTGTTAGAACTCTTCGAATCCGATACATTTGAAACTATATTCCCTTAGCAACGTGGGAGTGTGACCACATAGCCCGAAGGATAATTATTCGAGGCTGGTCGTAGATGGCCTTTTTGTGAGTTTCTGATGTGTTAGCTCCGTGCCTAAGAAGGCCTTATCACTAGATATGGAAATCCATGGGGTAAAGTGAGGTGTAGCATTTTAACTCCTGCCTTTTACTCCTTCTGTTGTGGGAAGTCAATTTCACTGTTGATGCTAGTTATCTCAAGGAAACATTTTACTACCGTCACATCTATACAGTCAGCAGTACGTCTTCTTCCTCATATATTAAATTGCTGCTTTTAATCTTACTGTTCTCTAATCAGTCTGCCGGGCATGGTAGGAACCAGCTAATACATGCCAATCGGATCATCACTTTATACAGGTCCGACCACTACATCAAGGTGGCAGCTATGGTCAGGGAAAAGAATACAATTTATATGCACATATGAGTTAACATTTTTTGTATGTCTCTACTTTTACCGACTCCTGTTTATCCTCTTATTTCTGTTGTTGTTGTAGATATTTAAAAGTTCACCTTTATTATTCTATTTTATTCACAACGGTTGATTGGATTAAGTCGTAAATAATTTATGTGTGTACTATACTGAATAAGTAGTAAAATCAACTATTTGATTATTTATATATATTGTAGTATATATATACGCATTGTAGTTCGATCATGTTGATTCAATAGGAATAAACAAACACGATTATATCCATTGATTTATCACTGAGTAGTGTCGATTATTACGTTAGTCTAGTTTTATACTCCTAATGAAATTCTGTTGATCAGGTTGTAATATGACCATTACTCTAAATGACTCAATATCGGATGCATTACGTTGAAATGATAGTTAGTTGAAAGTAGTCGGTATAAATCCTATCTTGACCTAGATTTCATGTTATTTAAAACTCGTCAACTGGGTGTATTTGAAATCTTGAAGGAATTAATACTCCCTGTAAAATTGAACCCATACCATACACCTTCACAATCTGACTTTTTTCCACGGTGCTTTTCGGGTAACGTCTCTAACTATGAAGCTAGGCGGGGTGAGTTAGAATCTTACAGAAAGCATCGGTGACCCTCAAGATTGAATGTACACCTTGCTGATGAATTCCATCTAACAGAACACCCAAACCAAAGAAGATTCCCTGTCGACTAACTCCAATCACCTTATAATAAAATGACCAATTTGTGTATAATATTATTTAGACATTCTGTTAAACCTGTGTTAATTCATTGATCTTTATTTTTTTTTAGGATACAAAGAAAGGTGATAAAAATACGATTGTCTCATCGTACAATCGTAATTTCACTGGTCGTAATGATGCTAATCCAGCTACACATGCATTTGTTACTTCACCAGAATTAGTCACAGCTTTAGTATTCGGTGGCAGTTTATCATTTAATCCATTGACGGATGAACTAACTGCAGATGATGGATCAAAATTTAAATTTAAACCACCAACAGGTACGTGTTTGTGTGTGTGTATGGACTTACATCTTATCGTTTTATTTTGGTAGAGTTATGTTCTCTAAGTCTAAATGATTTAATATTAACGTTTTCACTGACTTACTTCTCCAGGTGTTGGGGAACTCAGGAAAGGTCCTAATTTTGTAATTTTATTCTGAAAATTTGAATTTTGTTTTCGCGCCAAGAAAGGCTTAGTTGACCTACAGCTTACATTTCTCACTCAGAATCCCTTGACTGTCATCGGTTGACGGATTTTTTTAGTACGCTATTTTGTGGCTCCCCCCAAGGGCGTTTCTACCATTGTATAAATAAGCTTGATTTTATGAGCTTAGTGACCTCGTATTTTTTGGGTGCCTATAGAGTACATTCTCTGCGCCTCGTCAAGACTTCTTGATCTAGTTAGCAGGGCTGAGGACAATATATTAGAATTAGCCTATCGTGTCACTGTGTCATTGACCTTCGTTTTGTTTACCGAGTAAGGTGAACTCGTAATAGCAACAAGCATATCACCAGGATAAACTTCAAATAGAAGTGGAATACCTAAAGCTTCATAATTAAACCATCTGGTTCTTTGTTATAATGAACTAATTAGTAGAAATGTTGTAACTTTCGGAATTATTTTACATATTATTACTATTTATAGTCTTATCATAAAATTGTTGTTGCTTTTTTATATTCCTTATATTGTGAGTTTTTGTCGGGACCTATTAACTATTGTTATACTTTTTATTGTTACCTAATCAATTGTTGATTAATTCTACACTTTTTATCCAGTTCTCTGTCACTCATGGCATGATAATGTGTAAAGAGTACTTTTTTGTTTTGGTCCACGTTACGTAATCTAATAATCTATGTTTATTAAGTGTTTGAGATAACAGCAGTGGATGTCCGAAATATAAACGATGAAAGCTTGTCCATTGTGTTCTCTTGTTCGGACTCATGACTAGAAATAGAAGAAAGTGTACGTATCAGTAGACCAATATGAGTTAATATTATTTTAGCCTCAGCTTAGGTTTAATCTTGTTAGTTATAGTCTTTCATTGTTCAAAGCTCAGGATGCTAGGCTATAAACTAAATAGTACACGCAAGGTAGATAAATATAACAATTCCAACTGGCGAATTTCCTCGCGAGATATCGTACAACTTATCGTTATAACACGCAGAAAATGCAACTCCGTCAAAATCGTCCACCTAAGCTAAAGATCATCTCAACCGTTGTCTTATTAGCTTATTCTCTAGTGTATTTTATTTCCTCATAAAATCTCAATATTTATTAGTCTTATTGTAAGTTCTTGGATGTCAGTTGCTGAGGAGGATTCCGTAAAGAAGGCGTAACTTGCATACAGTACTTGGTTTATTATTTGAATCGTCTGGTTAATTCTTCCCACTGAGTGTACACACACACATACAATACATTTCAACGACCGGTTTAACTATGAGACTGTATAAGTGAATAAATCATACTATATGTTATATCTTTCATGGTATTTAATCCTGCCAAATTGTTTAAATAATAATTGATGCTACTTTCTACACAAAAAGTGCTTTCTAATTTTAAAATACCATTTGATTACGAAGTAGTAGTATAGTAGGCTCCAGAGGATCTATTTCTTATTATATTTATAGGTTTTCACGATTTAAAATCAAATGATTTCATCACTAATAAGTGGTATGCTGATCCAGTGTCTCTAACATTCGATTTTAAACTTTCCATTATGAAGTTTGTACTCTGTTCTATTAACTTCAGCTTGTACAACTAAGTAGTGTATGAATAGTACAAGTATACGAACCTGTTCATAGCTTAATGAAGAATAGTCGTTTATCAGGCACAGATTCGTGTACTTGCCTTCAAACTATACTGAATGTGGTAGCTAGTAATACTACTCGGTCACCTAAACTGAAGTAAATTTTGTTTTATCTTCAAGTCTACCATATAGTTATTGTAATTTTATTATCTCACTCTTGAAAATCAGGTGACACACTACCGATGAAAGGTTTTGATCCTGGTCAAGATACATATCAACCACCAGTGACAGATACTTCCAAAATCACAGTTAAAGTTGATCCATCAAGTCAACGTTTACAATTACTTAGTCCATTTAAGAAATGGGATGGTAAAGATTTAACTGAAATGCCAATATTAATTAAAATTAAAGGAAAATGTACTACAGATCATATTTCAGCTGCTGGTCAATGGTTAAAATATCGAGGTCATTTGGATAATATTTCAAATAATTTGTTCATTGGGTAAGGATTTTGTGCAAATTATGCAAGTGAATCAATAATAATATTTATTTTTAAGAAGTTTCTATGTTAGATACCAATCTTTGAATTATTGATTTGAAAGTAATCGCTCAGCCAAGATTACAACTACCAGTGATCTCTACTTAATATCAGGTTATCAACACAGTAAACACCACTAAACAGTGCGATTAGCTGAAAACAACGTCATCTTATGGAAAGGTTTGATCTTAGGTGAAGTTGAAGGTAGAATGCTGTTAAATCTAGGTATGAGGGATGTCTTCACCTCCCGGTTACACATACTATGAAAGGATACTTCTTAAGGTATCTAAATAAGAAACTGGGTTAGGGTTAGTATTATCGACCTGGTAGCGTTATATGCGAGCCCAAGGGACAATTGTATGAGATTGATCACGCGTATCCTATCGGTGAGTAATTTTAGATATGTTGGTTTAATAATTTTCGGAATCCTTACTACCAGAGATGAAAGTCCGTGTGACAAAGTTTGGTGTTGCACCAATATTTATGTATTTCGTAAACAAATAAAATGAATTTGTAGGTTTCAATACAAAGATTGGACTTGATAGTTTCAAATAAATTGGGCATCAGGCAGAAAGTTAATGATAAATATGCTATTTGTGATAACCCAATCAGTAGAAATTTGTATTTCTCATGTTTCTGTACTTAATGTAAGTCACTACAGAGTAAATAAATAACCGAAATAAAACTATCATAAGTTTACCTAGTACAAAAGAAACAATGCAGAATATTTTCAGTACAATCAAAATAAACTGAATAAAAGTAAAATGTACGATTTTTAGAACTCCTTTTTTCTAATCCTCTCCTTTCTTTATGGGAAGACAGTATCGCTCCAAATGCTGGCCATTTGAGAGAATCACCTCACCACTCTCACATCTCGATACGGCTAACAGTACAGCTTAGTCCTTGAACCTTATGTTTACTGCTTTTAGTTTCACCACTCCAATCGATCTACCCGGTCTGCTAGGACCTAAGTGAAGAAGTGTTCTACCCAATGCATTTCAATCCATGTCATCACGATATGCAAGCTCGATCACCAAGTCAATGTAGCGACTACAGTTGGATCAATGGGGTACGTACATTCAGTTCTTCTTGATATTGCTAGTCTGTCTATGTTCACTAAACTAAAGCAAGAAAAACCTAACTTCAAACATGTAAAGTAATCACTTCATGTTGTTTGCTTTACCTCAACTTGACTGGTAAATCTTTTTTATTGATGATCAGCAAAAATACACGACTAATAAATGCCAAAATAGGATAAAATAGATATACTAGAGTATCTCAAACCAAGACGAAACATATGTCCAGTACTCTTGTTTTCACGATTGTTCTGCAGCTCATGTTTGTTATTAAATGAAAATACTTCGGAATTCAAATCTTATTTCCTATTTGCCTATTGCTCCAATACACAATAACCAAATGACTTGCTTGACCTGAGGGAAAACAGTAGCATCAATATTGTTATTATTGATTGACGATCTCACTGAAAGTCACTAGAATAGGCAATGACCCAAGTTTATGAAATCCGTTACTATTATGCAATCACGTGGTAGATTATTAATGTTATTTATTGACTATATGTGGTGTTCTTAAATCAAGTTGTACTGAATTGTTCAAAGAACGTTCTACTATCATGATCGACGTGATTAGCTAGATTTCACAAACACTATTACTCGTGATAACATTTTATCTATATTGTGTTGCACAATTAGGCTTCTTTCAATAGTAGTTCCTACTATATATCGGCTTATATATATAACTTTCGTTTAACTCTGTATATTTCTCCTGTAGAGCTGTCAATGAAGAGAATAATGAAATGAATAAAGTATTACATCGTCCATCTGGTCAGTGGGATACTGTTCCAATGGTAGCTAGAAAATATAAGGCGGATGGTATCAATTGGTGCGTCATTGGTGATGAGAATTATGGTGAAGGAAGCAGTCGGGAACACGCTGCCCTGGAGCCTAGACATTTAGGTGGTCGTGCAATTATTGTGAAAAGTTTTGCACGTATACATGGTAGGTTGTTTTCTTCAGTTAAATTTAATTTGTATTATATTTTCATAGTTGAAAGCATGAGTCAATTGAAGCTAGACCACCATGGAAAACCTGGAAGCACTGGGCGGCCTTTTCGTTCTATTATGGGACTCCTCAGCAGTGCGCATCCATAATAGGACGAAACGGCCGTCCAGTGCTTCCAGGTTTTCCATGGTGGTCTAGCTTCAATTGACTCACGCTTTCAACTATGAAAATACTAAATCTCCACAAAACCCCTTTTGTATTATATTATTTTAAATTTGGACGAAATATCTAATTGACTGAGTAGTTGTGACCAATTTCATCTTATTTGTATGGTTCTTTTCAATGCTGATCAAATTGCAGTGTGCTGGCCACTAGTTTAAATGGCTCGGTATCAAATTTACTACGCTAATATGTGCTAGATGATTACAGGTGGTATACAGAAAACTCTTGTTGACCCAGATTTCCCGCCAATTTCCGCTTGTCAGCCAGACATACCTCTAGACCGTACTGTAGACTATGAGAGAAATTCAACTATCTCCGCATAGATAATAGTTTACAAGATTTCTTCACTTTTTCTCTATTATTATTATTATTATTATTATTATTATTATTATTATTATTATTATTATTATTATTATTATTATTATTATTATTATTATTATTATTTAGAGACAAATTTGAAAAAACAAGGAATGCTTCCATTGACATTTGCAAACCCATCAGATTATGATAAAATTAAACCGTCAGATAAAATTTCCCTGTTAGATTTGAAAAATCTTCAACCTGGCAAAGTGAGTTAAATGAAAAGAACACTTTATCATTATTATTTTCTTTATATATACTCCTTTAAAATTGGTTTTCATTATGATGAATATGAACAATAGGAATTTAGGCCAGGCGGATACACATTTTGTCCTGGTTTAAAAATCAATATATATATATATATATATATATATATACTAATGCATACATACTCACAACCTCATTCCTGTTGGGGAGATCCAGAAAACTTCGAAAAAAGCCAACAAAGGCTCTGAAAACACTGACAAGTATCTTATCCAATCAGCTTTCACTAGAAGTTTTACCAGAAACATCTAGAAAGTGAAAAATCACGTGTTGAGTTTCTGACTGGATGATTAACTATACTGCTACTATGTTTTGTAGCGTTCCAGAATTTTCCGGAAACTCTAGGCCGTCTAAAATACCATAGAAATCCTAGATTTTCTGTACATAAACGAACCTTAAAGTAAAGTATTTCTTCCATATTTCTCGTCTTTCCTCACGTGCTCAAGTCGCTGTGTAGATTTAGCCTGGGGGTTACTAGAAGAGCTTAGGAATCGAATGTAGCTTTCAATTAGAAGACTTATCAATTCCTACAATTGAAGAACATATGGGACTAAAAACAATTGTCAGCCAATATCAAAGTTAGAATATTCAATACAAACTTCAAGACAGTCCTGTACGGATCTGAAACGTGAAGAACTACAACCATCATCAAAAAGGTGCAAGTATTTATCAACAGTTATCTACGTAAGATACTGAATGTCCGTTGACTGGATACCATCAGCTACAGTCTACTTCCGGCGATAACAAATTGATGAGGAAATAACTAAAAGACTCTAGAAGTGGATAGGACATACATTTCATAAATTACCAAACTCCATCACGAGACAAGCGCTAACTTGGAATCCTGAAGGGAAACGGAAAGGGGAGAGGCCTAAAAACATACTGCATCGGGAATTGGAAGCAGACATGAAAAGGATGAATGGCATCTGGAAAGGACTACCCAGGATAGGGTTGGATGGAGAATGCTTGTGCGGTGGCCTATGCTCCTCCACGAGGGGTAACAGGCGTAAGTAAGTATATAACATACTTACAACCCCGTTGTATATAATACAAAAAAGTTGAATGAATTGAAAAAGAACTTGGAATAATCATAGTGTGGTATGGGTTACTTAAATCCACACGAGTAGCATATAACGATGGCTGAGGATTGAATGTATTTCAGTGGAAGATCGATAATGAAAGAACTGGAACGAAACGCAATTGGTATGAAAATGCATGAACATTAATAATCGGAGACGATGGACTGTTAGTTGCAGAAGAAACGTTGAAGATTGAGACAATTGATTGATATGATAATTTTATTCTCTGAAGACGTGGCTTACACTGAGTCACGAAACGTCAGAAAATCTAATTTTTCTACTCATTGGGATATTACAAATATATTAATTTATTTATAATTGATTGATAGTTTGCAAATGAACTATTTTCCATATTTTAGTGAGATATTCTGTAATTTTGTGCTTAAATCCATTCGATTGTCCCCACCCGTGTTCTGTTCACTACAATAGTAATAACGATAATGAGAGAGATCAAGGGTAGAGACAGAATGACAAGATGTGTATTAAAAAAATTATTGTAGGTCAAAATCAAGTTGAATTAAGGAGTGATTAGTTTTGTTAACAGACTAGGGGGATTCAACTTCTCGATAGTTTCATGCTCATATCACTAATCAAGCTAGTTATAACTGTTACGTCATGCGGTCACTCGAGTCCACTTACTGAAATACTCTTCTTATTCACGAGCCCAACCAACTACTGAAGTGAGAAGACCAAGAATTAACAACAAGCTTTTATTGGCTTACCGATTTCAGAATATGTGCACGACTCATTCATAGATATATTTCATTCTCTCTCAGAAAGTCAAACCAGATTGTCTATTTCCCCAAAAAGTTTAAACAAACCTTAATCTATAGCGTACACCCGTCAGAATTTATCACTTCTCATCTGATTGACCTAGTATATCTATAACACACACACACACACAGTACATTCAATGAATGTTTTAATGATCAACAATTCGTATTGTTTTAATTTTGAATGATCTTTCAAATGAATTTAAATTAACGTTATAATTATGAGTATAAATGTAATTATATATATAATGCTCACCTACACATACGATAATTTCTTTTAGCCTGTTCGTTGTGTAATTCACCATGAAAATGGTAAAACTGAAGAAGTTCAATTATTGCATACATTTAATGAGAATCAAATTGAATGGTTCAAAGCTGGAAGTGCTTTAAATCGAATGCGTGAATTAGGCAGTCAACAACATTAAATTCTGTCTATCATACAACGTCTTATGCTTATTACCTTCCTTTTGAAATAGTTGCTAAGCAAATTTCTAAAAAAAACTGTTTAGTTTCTTTACTTATTCGTTTGTTTATCTTTCTTCAATCAACTTCGTTTTCATTCAACCTATACATTTCTATTTCTACTCTGTTTTGTAGTTATATATATCAGTTAGCTATGTAATTTAGTAATCTACAAATTACTCATTTTTACATTAATTTATTCCCTCCCAAACTATCCCCCACTTTCTCCCCCCATATTGTTTTGTATTAGTAGAGTTTGATTGATAATCAGTCAATTGTCATTTCAGATTTTAAGGTAGTTTTGTTACTATTTACATATATGTATTCATTATTAGTTTGTATTTTCTCAAACAATACGTACATGGGTCCATACAAACAAACATGCATACACATGGTGACCTATGAAAATTGGACTACTTGTGCAACGTATCGTTTTTTTTCTCTCTGTTTTTCATAGATAGTGAATAGTTATGTTCATTGTTTAAAATAAACAAGTTGAGCTTTTGTGAATAAAATGTTACATCTTAGTAACAGGAATGGTTTTCGAAAAGTAAATTACTCAATCCTTTCTTTAACTTACTAAACACTTCCCAGTAAGCACGTAGATTTGCGCGTTCGCACACATATGTCTTAAATCTGCTTATTTCAGCGTGAACTGACACGCTGTTGGTGTTGTTTACTATAAATTGTCTTCGAGAGTATCACTACACGCTATTAACAAAAAGGTATAATGAAAAAAGCTATCTTGACAAGACAATCAGATTTAAGAGCGCAGCCATCAGACTTTTGCGCGAAATTCAAGTGAGGTGATGAATAGCCGTTTCTTATTAAGAACGTGGTGCGAAATTAATAAAGCCTAGTAAAATTTAATCATCAAGACATCTAAAGTTGGAAAACATAACAAGACTTACGAATAAAGACGAAGTTGTGTGGCTCTTGAAATGGTGATGAGCGAATTATTACTATTTCACAGCGAAAATGATAAAAAATAAATAGAATTAAAAAAAACGACATGGAATGCGCGTATGTGAACTTGTAGCTCAGTTCTTCCTCAATTGTCAACATGCGTGCAATATTGAACACGTTGAAGACGTTGGATGACATGGCACAGAACAATTTACAACGGCACAGATGCATTCACTCTTCATCTTCCCCTCGATCTTGAATTCCAGTAATCCTTCACAAATACCTTTCCATTCTCTCCTTTCAAACTATATTCTCAAGTTTCAGTTCTTTTTATCTTTACTGCTACATTATTTTGATATATTTTGTTATTTGTTTATCTTTGTGTCGATCTGGTATGGTAACTTGAGCAGAAGCATATCTAAATTAGGCTCTCTTTTGATAATGTCTATTCTAAGATAAAAATATTTTTAAATAAAACGTACACCTACAAAAGTCGTCTAATTTTTCGCTTATATATCAATATTTTCATCTTTTCTATCATATTTATAGTTATGCTTACTGGTTAACATCGATTTCGGAATACGGTGTTTTTTTATTGGTTAAAATTAAATTGAAATAAAATGCTTTTTTGAAAAAATAATTACGATTTTTTATAGATTTTAAGTAACAAACCGTTCTTTTTAGACCAACATTGATAAATAAGAAGCATTGGGTGGCTCTTTCATCCTAGTATGGGACTCCTCAATAGGGTGCATCCACGTCCAAGCACCTGTATATCGAACCCAACAACTCCAGTCTCTTATGAGAACCCAGAACCTTTAGATCGCTGAGCCGGCACTCAATCGTTATTAATTTTTTATTCGAGTGGATTCAAGATATTGCGCGACCATTTCCCATTGGCTGCCGTGAATAACCGTCTCACACCCAACATGTTTGAATTCTACTGGTCACCACTTCTATAGGAATTGCATCTTAGGACTGCGCGATCTAGAATTTAGATATTTTCTTAATCTCAAATAAATAAGTATTACAAATCAAATTAAATAGAAAAGTGAACCATTGAATTGCAATTTCCGTAATTAAACATTAGGTGCGCTTCAGAAGAGCTGGGCTCTACCCCTAAGTGGGGTCATAGTTAAGCACTACTGGGAATTCAGAAACTAAGGCAAAACAGCTGTTTAGTAGCCCGTTTTACCAACTGATATCAAACCACCACGAAAAGCACAAAATAAGATATATAAATTAGTTGAGAATGGTTTTGCACAGAATGAAATTAGCAGAAGATATTTCGTCCATTCTATTGTAAAACTTTTTTGATGCCCATTATCTAACCCTAGTTTGATTGTACGACTGATGTTATCCAAATGTACTTCCCTGCTAACCTAATACAGATTTATCGACTTAGTTCACGTTAGAGAAAAACGGAATAAGTCAAATATAAGAATGAATTTCGAATACGTATATTTCGTAAATTCCTTCACTCAGATAGACATTTATAATGAAAAGTAAAGAATTAACGCTAAGCGGAGAAGACGATTGAGCCAACTCGATTTGAACAAGTTTGATTCGATATTTTCAGTCAAACGAAAATAAGTTACATACATATTATGTGTACGATAAGCAATGCACATACATACGCTCATTTAAAAAGTCAAGGCTAATAAGCGAATAGTTGACAAGTTCAAAATGTGGCTCCAAAAGAGGAATGAACCGTTCTGTCCGGAAGCTGGAATAACTTATGTGGGCTTGGCATAGTACCACACACTACACCCAAATAGATAGCAATCCATCACCTTAACTACGAACTATAACTAACTAAACCAGTAATTAAGTAGAAATTTCATATTGCTAGTTCTTTAAATAAATACATATATATATGAACATGGTTATTTGAAGATAGGCATACAAAACACAAGGGAGCAGAGGCAGTATTTATCTAGAGTTTGAAAATTGTTATGTTGAATTGCGTAATAATTATAAATTTGAAGCTCCCACGTGAAAATCACAGATGAGTAAAAAGATAATTTTAAAGTGGATGAAATAACATTAAGCTAAGTGAGGATTACATAAACAAATATAGACAATAATAATTAGATAAAATGTAATCAAAAGGGGCTCTGGCGCGAGACTGGTAGCCCTTGGGTTCGAATCTCGCTATGCGGAATCGTGGATGCGCACTACTGAGGAGTCCCGTAGCGGGACGAAAAGGCACTTTAGTGCTTCCAGGTTTTCCATTGTGGTCTAGCTTCAATTGACTCATGATTTCAACTATAAAAAAGAGAAAATGTAATCAATATTCTGAGTCTGCCATAGTAGTGATAAATTGACACCGTAAGGTAGTGATTGGAGGTAGTTGACAGGAGACTCTGAACCGAAAAGCGCGAAACTCAGACTTAGGGAGTCCTGTCGACTATTTTCAACTAGCATCTCACATCTCAACATAGTCTAATCAATGCTCAGTCGGTTAAACTAGTAGTTACATTTCAACGTGATCGACAGAATCCGATCAGCGCTAAAGAATAACTTGGTACACATGGCATTCATCAACAATCAGTGATTATATATAGTTAAGATCATGAGTCAGTTGAAGCTAGACCGCCATCGAAAACCTGGAAGCACTGGACGGCCGTTTCGTTCTATTATGGGACTCCTCAGCAGTGCGCATCCACGATACCACCTCGCGAGATTCGAACCCAGGACCTACCAGCCTCGAGCCAGAGCCCTTAAGCGATAGACCACTAAGCCGGCCGGCATCCAACGGTGTTAGTGTCTGACCTCAACCAATCCACGAAATTGCGCAACCAACTTCCATTGTACTGAGGTAGATATCTGTCTCTACCTGACATGGATTAACTCCACTGGCCACGACTTCTCACTAGAACTCCAGGAATTACCTCATGGAGCCATTCACTAGTGAGCATATGATCATTATCACAAAGGGGTTTTGTGGAGATTTTAAGTAATTTTATATAGTTAGGATCATGAGTCGACCATGATCTTAACTATATAAAATTACTTAAAATCTCCACAAAACCCCTTTGTGATAATCAGTGATTAGTCAATTATAAATAAATTGACGAATTCTAAAGAATTCGGCAACAAAATGTGTCACAGCACTAAACAGTATAAAAGTTCAGCATTCAGTTGTTAGCTGTCTTTATTGTTATAATTAAAATGTCTCTAATTATTATCATTATTATTATACAACTCCCACATAGATAATTATTATTCCATCTACATTAAAACTATCTTTATGTAATCCATCCTAACAATTTTATGATTCTAGACAATTATTATATATATATATATATATATATATATATATATATATATATATATATATATATATACGGAAAGGAAGCAAAAAAGAGGTAGTTCGAATAACACATTACGCCGGGAAGTAAAAGCAGATATGAAACGGATGAATAACGACTGGAAAGGATTGCTCTGGACAAGAATGGATGGAGACTGCTGATGGACGGCCTATGCTCCTCCATGAGCGGTTACAGTCGTAAGTAAGTAAGCATATCAATGAGAATACGATTGTAAGCAGCTGATGAGGAACTACGAAACCGATATGAATCCATATTATTGTGGATCAATAGTTGTTTTTTTTCTGAACAATAGAAATGTTTACGTAATCAGATAACATCAAGAATACGATCGTGTTTTAATACCAGTTTAATTTCTTTCTTGTTTGTGAATAATCAACCCATTAAACAAATACCAATGTAAGCATACAGGTTCGGAGATACACACACATACCGTTAGTGTTGTGACTTTAAGCCCGACTAATTATCACGTGGTTTATTCGCCAATGAAAGTGCAACTTATACAATCTTAGTGCTGTGCCAAGCCAATGACGTTCGAGCGATATGAACAGCCTAGCATCCTCATTGGTCCTTTTTTCTCTTAGGCCTGTCAGTTGAATCCAGAACACCAATACCAGCAGTAACCCTAGAAGAGCCACAAGAGTAACACATTGTGCTGAGAATTGGAAGCAGATATCAAAAGAATGAGTAGGGAGTGACAAAAACTGGAAAGGATTGACCAGGACGGTTCGAAGAATTCTGGAGGACAGCCTATGCTCTATTTCCCCCCTACGAGGGGTACCTTGTTGTGTCGTGATCTAGCCGTCGCCAATTGTTATGTCTTGTTCAAGGTTGTGGCCAATTATTATGACTTGATCAAGGTCGTCGCTAATTTGTGATGACCTTACAAATTAAACAAGGGCGTAGCTTGAGTGAATTATCCGCCAATAGAAATACGACTTCTACGACCTTCACACTGTGACAATGACGTTCGATTAGTATGAGTAACCTAGCGCCTTTATTGGCCCTTAATCCGCCTAGCCCGTCCACTTGAGTCCAGAATACCAATAGCAGCCTCGGCAATATGAATCGTTTATTTCAAGCATACTTTGTTTACGTATCAGACAGACAGACCACATCACACCATAAAATAGAAAATAATATTTGTACAAAACCAAGGCAAATGAGGCTGTGAACGTGGGAGACAATAATCAATAAACTGAGCATAACATAGGAACAGTAAATCATATAATAATAATCAATAGGCCAAAATGAAGCTTGTAATAAGTTGAATATAGATATAGATAATCTAGTTACTGAATAGTTATACAATAAGAATGATAGTCCAATAGTAGGTCCTGCAAGTTACCCGTACTTATGTCTTCGCTACTACATAACATAACTGGTGTAAGAGTAAGTTATCCAACGCCTTCTTAACGCTTAATCAAAACCAATTATCCAGAAGTAAAGGACTACATACGATGTATTGTTAAAATATTAAAAGTAAAGTGATTACGATTCGTTGGTATTTATAGGTAAGCAGATTGACTCAAATAGCAAGTAGTCCTCTTACTCACTACAGCTAGTCAACTCATACTGAAGCCGACTTGTCATGTGCTTTGATATGATACATTTAGTTCTCCTAATTATATTGGCAACTCTATCTGGCTACTTAAATCGAAGTATGTGAACCTACAATTAAATTGTTGATAGTTGGATACTTAAATCACTAAGCTACAGACCATTCTTTTTGCTATCAATGAAGACACTAGTCAATATGACATTAAGTAGTTCCAACTAACTCTTAACTAGAAAAGGAGCAGGAGTCATTGAGTTTACATTAAGGAAACGTTTTCATTAACCTTTTTGATTTGAAAAACTGTCCAAATAGATAAAGAATACTTGTGTTAAAAAGATAAGTGCGTATTATGAGTTGCTATGTTTTCAGGTCGTCCCATCGGAAAGTGCTATTGAACACTTCTAATACCTGAGCTCAACCTGGGACGTGTGTGGGAAGGCTAAAGGTGAATAGGAAGCTCAAATTGGCAACCGGAGCAACGAATATATATCCCTTAGATATTTAGAGCCAACTAAAGGGATGGTACAGTCTCAGCCAATAGCATGCCAGCTTTGACATGCCCAATCTACCACCGTTTGACCTGTAGCTAGCATGTGATATGTCTGAATTCGCCTAGTGCATCATGAGTCATATCACGATGTTACGGTTCATTCAATGTTACACGATTTTTAGCAATTATTAAGATTGATACTGATAATAGTAATCAAAAAATTTGTGATATATTTTACACAGAACTATAAT